TTTTTTTGGCGGAACCGGGGATTGAACTCAGATCCTTGCATTTGCCAGTCAAGTGCTTATCCTACTGAGCCATCTCCCTGGCCCCTGGTTATTCACATTGTTAAATGAATATAACTTGAAATTTCCTGAATTTATCAAAGTAAAGGAAAATTGCATAAAATACATTTGAGGAAAGATTTTAATCTGTTTACCATGTACTATAATGCATCATTTACCTTTTTTTCTCTGATTCATTTTATCAGCTGTCAGTAACTAGATTTAGAATCTTTACGTAAGTCCAGAGTATTTTCAGCAAAGATTTTCTTTAAGGGTATAGAAAGTCTTGGTCATTTCCAGTTATTTGTTTTTCATTTATTGTATGGTTTATGATAATGAAAAAGGAAAGAGCAGTAAAGTAAGAGAGAGGGTACGCTGTGTATCTGTCTGGTCAAATCATTACCATACTGTTCTATTCTGAGGGTCATTGCTCCTCTTTAGTTCTGAGTTTACTGATCTTTAAAATGAAGAAACTGGGCCTTATGATCTTTAACACTGACCTAGCCTTGAAAATGTGTAAATAACTGTGACCAACATTAGAAATCTGGACTAAGCGGGTCTAGAGGGTGCTGCCTAGGTAAAAGCTACATAAAGTCCTGTGTTCTTTGAGTCCCATGCCAAGTTTCATCTATTGTGAGCCTGTAGGAAATAAGACTAGTATTTATGCAGAAATGAGTAAAAGAAGTGCAGAAACACTACTAGTAAAGTAATATATGGTGAAGTTAAAAATTACAGGCTTTTGTAATTTACAAATGTCCCCAAAACTAAAGTTTTAGTTGCTTAGATATATGACTAGACAAGCAGACAAGCTCAAAACCTCTTTCTTTCTTTCTTTCTTTCTTTCTTTCTTTCTTTCTTTCTTTCTTTCTTTCTTTTTTTTTTGGCGGAACTGGGGATTGAACTCAGGGCCTTGCACTTGCCAGGGAAGCACTTATTGCACTGAGCCATCTCCTTGGCCCTCAAAACCTTTCTTAAGCATGACATCCCTTGGTGTTCTTTATATGGCATATGTGGGAGGGGGTAATGGAGTTTGAACTCTTTGTACTAAGTTACATTCTAGCTCTCATTTATTCTGAGACAGGATCTTATGGTACTCAGGCTTGGCTTAATTTATTATCCTTGCACTTCAGCCTTCCAGAATACTGAAATTGCTGTTGTGTACCTCCGTGCCTGGCTGGGATCTTAATAATAACCCAAAAAATGAAGAAAATAGGTCAAGCATGGTGGTGCATCCAAGTAATCCCAGCACAGGAAGGCTGAGGCGGGAGAATCGCTGCAAGTTGGAGGCCAGCCTAGGCTGCATAGTGAGCTCAAGGCTGGCCTGAACTACATAACAAGACCCTGCCCCAAAAAAAAGCCTCCCTCTCCTTGCAAAAAAAAAAAAAGAAAATAGGCTAAGGGTTGGATTTAGTACCAGTATTTCTAGACCTATATTTCCAAAAGTTTTATAGCTGGTTTTGAAGAGACAGAGAACTAAGGGTGGCAAAGAAGGAAAAAATAGAATAATGACTTTACAGGTTGTTGCTGGGCCAAAGAGTTGAGGGAGCATCTGATTCTTGCTGGCTGCCTCTCTAAGCCTTGGAGGAGATTTATTGATTGGGGGCCACATGGAGATTGAATTTTTTGTACTAAATTACATTCCCAGCCATCTTATTTTTTATTTTGAGAAAAGGTCTCACAGAGGTTCTGGGCTTGTCTTAAATTGTGGTGCTGAACAGCAAAATTGAGATTTCAGGACAATTGACATCTCTGTTTCAGGTGTAAGACTCATAACTAGCCACATTTGGCAAGTACAATGCCAGTTTTTTTCCACAGGGCCTACATAGGGAGTTAACTTTAGGTTTCTTCTAGAAAGGCACACCAGGTTTTCTTCACTTTTTATATTCCCTTGAAGGTCTTGAGATTTAATGGATCGTTTGGGAAATGAATTTTGTGTTGTTTTAAAGTGTGACTACCTATTTGGTGTTTTACTTTAACCTGTCCAAACAGATATATAGTGCAAGACCTAATGGAAACAGATCTTTACAAGCTCTTGAAGACACAACACCTCAGCAACGACCACATCTGCTATTTTCTTTACCAGATCCTCAGAGGGTTAAAATATATCCACTCAGCTAATGTTCTGCACCGTGACCTCAAGCCTTCCAACCTGCTGCTCAACACCACCTGTGATCTCAAGGTCCGCCAGTTTACTTATTCTTAGGATAGTGCATATTTTTAAAACTTATACTGACATGTAATTATAGTTGTTACTCATTTAAAAATATATCAGAAATACATGAACAGTTCTATGGTTTAAAAAACAAAAGCTAGTCCTCTTTTTTTTTTTTTTTTACCTCATTCTTTCTCTGCAAGATGACTAACCTGTAACAAATTGATGTATTTCCTTCCAGCATTTATTATATATTCTTACATATGTGTGTATTTTCATATTTTTATATGAACAGATACACATTATGTGTGAGTTTTATTTATTTATTTCTGTGTATTCTTTTTGTGGTACCAGGGATAGAACTGGGGACCTTATGCTTGCCAGGCAGGTGTTTATACCACTAAGCTATCCCCCGGCCCTAAGTTTTAAGATTCTGTTTCGTTGGTTGGTTTTTTTTTTTTCCTGAGGAAAATCTAAGATCCTTTATAGTCTGCAGAGTTTTTTGAAAATGCTGTGTATATCTGTATTTTAATGGATGGCAGAGCTAAATAAGAATGGAGACCTATACATGTCTTTATTTTAATAAAGAGATGTAAATTCAATCCAATAAAATGCATATAACTTTAAGACCAAAAAAATGGAAAGGATATCACTTGCTAATGGATCAGAAAAAAGACAGTTGGAGGATTCACACTTCTAATTTCAAAACTTAATAAAAACGTACAGTAAGTAAGACTGTGCTACTGATATAAGGATAGGGATGGATTAATGGAAGAGAATTGAAAGTCAAATCCATGTGTCTGTGTCAATTGATTTTTTTTTTTTTTTTTAAGTCTTTATTTACTCATTTGGTACAGGGTCTCACTATGCAGGATTTGTAGTGATCCTCCTGTCTCAGCCTCTCCAGCACTAGGATTATAGGCATGTGCCAGTAGGCCCTCTTTCTGGGCCCTGCACAGCACGCAGTACCAGGGATTGAATCGAGCTTCTTATACTTGGTAGGCAGGTGCTCAGACCGCCAAGCTATCTCCCCAGCCATGTGTCAACTGATTTTTGACAAGGGGGTTAAGACCACTTGAAAAAGAAGTCTTTTTTTTTTTTTTTTTTTTAAACAACAAAAACAAATCCTGAAACACTTGAATAGGCACATGCAAAAGAATGACACTGGATCCTCCCTTGTACCTCTACAAAAACTAACTCAAAATGAGTCAAAGACTTAAAATTTAAGAGCTAAAATTTGTAATACTATTAGGAAACATGGGAGTAAATCTTTGTGATTTTTGCGTTAAGCAAACTTTTAGACATGACACCAAAAGTACAAACAACAACAAAAAATTGAAAGGAAATTTGAGCCCAAAGTGGGCAACTTAGTGACTTAGTAAGACACTGTTTAAAAATAAAAAAATGAGAAAAAAGGCTAGGGCTGTAGCCAAAACCCAAATAAAAATTGAAACCTGAACTACATAGTAATACATGAAGTAAAAAGAAAGCCTATAGAAGCTGTGAAGTCATATGTTTGATAAGGGACTTACAACTGAATACAGACAACTCTGCATTCATGGTTCAACATCCACAGGTCCTAATGTATCCAACAACTGCAGGTAAAAAATACATGGGAAAAATGTATCTGTATGGATATGTACTTGTTTCTTTGTCATTATTTTCTACATAATACAGTATAACAACACTGACATAGCATTTACATTATATAAGTTTTATAGGTAGCCTAGAGATTAAAGTATATGAGAGGATGGCATGTACTTTGTAAACAAAAATTGTGCCACTTCATGTAAGGGATTTGAACATCCATATTGATAACCTGAGGTCCTGGATCCAGTCACCCACAGATACTGAGGAATGACTATTATAAAGAACTCCTCTAACTTAGTGATAAAAAATAAATAGCCAGGGGTGGTAGCACACACCTGTAATTGAACCACTCTGAAGGCTGAGACAGGAGGATCCCTGTGAGTCCCAAGCCAGCCTGGGCTACCAAGTGAGTTCAAGGTTAGCCTGAATTACATATTGGAAACCCTGCCTCAAAAAAAGACAAAAACAAAAACCCAGTGTTAAAATGAGTAAAAGTATCTGAATAGGCATTTCCCTAAAGACATTCAGATGGACCATTATTAGAACATGAAGAGATGCTTTGACATCATTCAGCAGGATAATAAGTGTAAGTCAGAATTACAGTGGGATAGCATTTTGTACATACTAAGATGGCTGTGATGCAAAGTGAGGCAAAAACATTAGCAAAGATTATGTTCCTAAGTCTATATCTAAATGAAGTGAAAATGTTTTGTTTTGTTTTTTCATAAAAATTGTTCTTGGTAACATTATTTATTACTGGCAAAAAGTGGAAAAAATCTCAAGTGTCCAACTAGTGTTACATAAATTATGGCAGTGTCATACAGTGAAGTAAAAAGGAGCTAGTGTACTGATAATGCTATAACTTGGGTGAATTATGCAGATGAAAGAAGCCAGTCATATAAAAACCAAATATTTTATGATCCCAATTATGAGTTCTCCAGAATATGCAAATCTGTAATCAGAAAGTAGGTCAGTAGATGCTTAGGGCTTGTGGAATTAGGTGAGAAATGAAGAGGGAGTACTGATTCTTTGGAATTTCTCTTTGAGATTTTAAAAAGTGCTCTCAAAAAAAAAAGTGCTCTCAAATTAGATAATGGCAATAGTTTTGTAACCTTACTATAATTCCAAAAGCAATTGAATTAGTGCTTTGTTTTATTTTATTTTATTTTTTGCGGTACTGGGGATTGAACTCAGGCCCTTGCTCTTGCCAGGCAAGCGCTTATTCTACCGAGCCATCTCCCTGGACCCAAATTGTGCACTTTAAATGGGTACTTATTGGGTGTGGTGGTGCATGCCTACGTCCTAGCATTCAATAGGCCGAGTCAGGAGGAACACTACAGTGCAAGGCTAGCCTGGCTACATAGTGATTTCCAGTCTAGCCTGAACTATACAGTGAGACCCCGTCTCAAAAAAACAAAATAAAGAGGGGTTTAAATTGTATGGTACATTAATTACATCTCGGTATTGACATTAAAAGTACATGTAGCTGTAGCAATAATCATGTTTTGGGATTTCTGTCAAGTAGATACTGCTGGGGCTGGTGAGATGGCTCAGTGGTCTAAAGCACCTACTTAGAATAAGCTTAGCAAAGCACAGGGACCGCAGTTCAATCCCCTAGCACCGCATGCCAGCCAGGGCCGCCCCCTGGTGGGCTGAGCTGGCCACACACACACACACACACACACACACACACTAAATAAATTAAAAAAAAAAAAAGTAGATACTGCTGTGTGAAGTTTTGTCATGTACACTAGGCCAGGGAAGTGAGCGTCTATCCTTAAAATCTGTAAACTAATAAATTAGAAATCATGGGGCCGGGAAGTTAGCTCAGTAGAATAAGTGCTTGCCTGGCAAGCGCAAGGGCCTGAATTCAATCCCCAGTTCTGCCCAAAAAAAAAAAAAAAAATCTTGATAGATAATAGTTAATGAACATGTGCTATTCTTCAGATACAGAAAAGAGTGGTGTGCCAATGCAAAGGAGAGAAGACAGTATTCATGTCAGTGTTCTAAGGATGGACAGGCTTTTAGTAATGGAGTGGCTGGGCTGGGCATAGGATATTACATAGGCAGAAGGAATAACAAAAATGAGTAAGTGGAGTAAAACAAAAACTAAATCCTCTTAGGGGGAATTTTTCCTTTTATTTTTACTTGAAAATATGCACCCTTAAGAATAAAACAAATACAACCAGACTACTTTGGGCGTTTTTGTTTTATTTTTTATTTTGTGTATTTAGTACAGCGTCTGCAGAGTCTCACTACACAGATTGGACTCAGTGATCCTCCTGTTTTTACCCTCCCAAGCACTGGGATTATAGGTGCACGCCACCACTCCCAGTCCTAGTTGCCATCTCAGTGCATGCTGAGGATCAAACTCTGGCCGCTGCACTCTGCCTAAGCAGGTGCTTTAGTCCTCTGAGCTATCTGGCTGGCCTTCAGACTACTTCGTTATGTTTTTTACTGTTGATGGACTTTGCCTTACATAGGGCCATTTTACTCACCTGTTCGCCAAGATTTACAAGCACACTGATAACATGAATTGCAAGTCAAGTCATTCACGTAATCTCTAGGCATAGTTTTCAAACCTCAATTTAAAATTGAGAATGAGAAACAAAAGGGCACACTAATATAGGAATTTAAAGTATGGCAATTCATTCACCTTCAAAATGTACATAGAAAATGTGATGTACCATATGAATAAATCTATTCAGGATTGCATCTCTTTTCAAAGAGAAGTGTGGGCAAGCATGCCCATGCAGGATAGGATTTGATTGCACTTGGGAGGCTGAAGTAAGAGGATCTCAAGATGAGTACCAGTTATACTTTCTAGGCACAGAGGTCTGAGAGACTGTGCATCATGGTTACAAGGTACTGAGAATGTGATGGACCACAGTGATTCCAGAACTGAAGTGGAAAAAGATGCTCTTCCCCAATGATACTCTTGTCACCTGTCATATATACACACTGAGCTTCAATCACTCTCTGCCACACTTAAAGGCTTTCAGACACCAAATCTCTTAGGAAGAAAGGATAGGGAAGAACAACTATATATTTGCTTTTAATTTTAAAGAAGAATATAGGGTGTGATCAGAAATACAGTGCTTTATTATTACTACAGTAAAAGACACATCAACTTCCCTCAAACTGCTTCCACTGCACTTCAAACACAATTATTTGTCTTGTCCTTGCTACTTTCTAAAGCACATATGGAAGCCTTCTTTTCATGAGTGTCCTTAGCTGTTCTGACATGGCTACCTGAATCAATTCAAGATATTTACCTTTCATTGTCATTTGTCTTTGTGGAAGAGCCAGAGATTGCATGGTACCAGATCCAGTGGATGAGCATGATGCTTTGTCATAAAAACACATCATGTTTTTATGAGCCTACCTACCCATTGTATTTTTTATCACACCTCATATAAATGTGGAAAACAACTTCC